GAAGGAAGGCAGAAAGGAGGGAGGGAGGAAAGGAAGGAAGGAAGGAAAGAAGGAAGGAAGGAAGGAAGGAAGGAAGGAAGGAAGGAAGGAAGGAAGGAAGGAAGGAAGGAGTAAGCGAAGGAAGGAAGGCAGAAAGGAGGGAGGGAGGAAGGGAAGGAAGGAAGAAAGGAAGGAAGGAGCAAGCGAAGGAAGGAAGGCAGAAAGGCGGGAGGGAGGGAGGGAGGGAGGGAGGAAGGAAGGAAGGAAGGAAGGAAGGAAGGAAGGAAGGAAGGAAGGAAGGAGCAAGCGAAGGAAGGAAGGCAGAAAGGAGGGAGGGAGGAAGGGAAGGAAGGAAGGAAGGAAGGAAGGAAGGAAGGAAGGAAGGAAGGAAGGAAGGAGCAAGCGAAGGAAGGAAGGCAGAAAGGAGGGAGGGAGGAGAGGAAGGAAGGAAGGAAGGAAGGACTGTGGCAGTTATAATTATTGCCAAGCAATGCCTGAAAATCCCTCGCCTGTGATTGCATTAAAGTTGATATAATTAAGTGGCCGAAGTCACAAAATCCATATAGGAATGCCAAAAATCTCATGCCAAATTGTCAGAAGATTCCAGTCTATTTCCACAAGAGTTCTGACTGGTGGGATTTTGCAGGATCTGTTTGCTTTCATTTTAAGGAGTTCCCAGATTCATTTGCTGAAGGCGTCACCGCTGTGAAAGAGTTACCACTAAAGGGTGGGGTCCTTTGCAGGTATGCAGCCCAGCCAAAAGAAGGCTTAGGAATAGAAGAGTTCCAGAAAAAAAACTGTAGGAAAACTGTGGAGTTTTGGATAGAACATTTCAAGGAATGAACCATAGAGTTAAATAAAGAGGCGGATCATAGTTGGCTATCTGTTAAGGGTAATCCTCGACTTACAACAGTTCATTTCGTGACCGATCAAAGTTACAATGGCACTGAAAAAGTGACTTATGACCATTTTTCACACTTACAACCATTGCAGCATCATGGTCATGTGATCCAAATTTGGCCGCGGGGCAACTGACTCACATTTATGTCCTGGGGTCATGTGATCGCCTTTTACGAGTTTTTTGACAAGCAAAGTCAAGGGGGAAGCCAGATTCACTTACCAACCTTGTTACTAACTGAGCAACTGCAATAATTCACTTAACAACTGTGTCAAGAAAGATAGTAAAATGGGGCCAAGTTCATGTAACAACGGTCTCGCTTAGCGACAGAAATTTTGGGCTTCAATTGTGGACATAAGTCCAGGACTACCTGTATATTGTCCTGGCTTTTCAGCACTCTGATACACTGCGTCTTTTCTCCCAATAGTAAATCCAAATGCAACAAACTAATGGAAGGAGAGGCCTGAGAGCCAAGCTTGTGTAAGATGTAGCCTAATGCATATAAAATATGCAAACATCA